TCAGCGAGTGGAACCCCGCAGACTCAGGCTCCGTTATTACCCTCTGCTCTGTGAACGCAGAGCTTCTGCCACGTGGCCTGCTTTGAATCCCTACGCTGGCTTGTCGTCAGTGGCCCCCATGCTTCCTGGGCAGTAATGCCCTCCAGGGTTACTTGATGACTCCATACTGCTTTTCTCCAAATGAGGTTGGGCTTGGCTCTCTCTGGTGCTCCCAGGATTGAACCTGGAGACAGTGTTGCATGTGCAGTCCAACCAGTGTGTGTCCCTCTCACTCTGAGCAGCTGTGTCTTCCTAGCACACCAATGGCTTATTTAGTACCCTTAACCTCTGGTCTCTTCCTTTGTGCAATGGATTTGGTCATTCATTTGAGATTTTGCTGCAAGACTTAAGTCCAATGTCCTAGGGAAGTTACAGCCCCTCCTAGGATGCCAGTCAAACCCTCTTACTCGGTAACCCTGGTGAAGCTCTGGTTCCTACCTGGGTAGCGCCAGGCCAAAGCACTGAAGCCAGCTCTACCTTTGTTATATGCTGTTGGGGGCTCTGTGCTGGAGATGCTCACTCCATAGAGCTCCCTGCTGCCACTGTGTTCCTCGATTCTTATCAGACATGCTCTGTGCCCCTCGGCAACAGCTTCATTCTTCACAAAGGCAAATCCCGTGACCTTTTCCACACCCAGAACCCATAACAGCCTTGCAGACCAGGTACGCTTGCAGCCAATTTGACCACGTCCTCTTTACCTCTCACTGGCTTTGAAGATTCTCCCTTGTTGAGGCCACATGGACAAGTCTGAGTGCTCTTGGAAGCATTTGCCAAAAGAGTTTGAATTTTCTGCTCAAGACCAGTGAGGTCTCTGGCAAGTTGCATACTCCTTTCTGCCATGAAATTCTTAGTCCTCACACCTCTCTTACACACCCTGACTGAATGCTTGGGCCACACGTGCATACTGGGTGACAGATGCATCTCTGTGGTCTGGGTGGCTAGGAACAAGGAAGATCCAGTGTCATTGGAGTGGGGAGGCACCGCTTCTGAAATTCTACAAAACCCAGAAATCTTTGTGTGCCTGTTTCATTTGTCTGTGAATAGGTGTGCCAAGAAATAGAAACTGTATTGCTTATGAAAAAGAAAACCCAGGACTCTCTTTAGTTTTATCACAAAATAACTTTCTCCAGAGAATTTCCAGGCAAGGAACAATGACTGAAAATGCAGCATCCAGACTTTGTGCTCCTGAATCCCACCTTCTCCTTGGGTTGTGTCCTTCCAGTCTCTGGCTCAAGCATGCATGTGAATCTCTCCCTTGCTTCTCTTTAACTGACCTTTCAGAAGAGAACCTCACTGAATGTGGCATTAAGGAAAGAACAGTAAAGACGCCATAGCAGGCACAGCACAAAAACAGTGAAATAACCAAGTCAGAGCATGTGCCTTGCAGCTCATAGCTGGCGCCACCTCTCAGCCCTTGTCTTGCCCCCTTTCCTCCCATTCCATCTGTATGGCTCACAGGACAGGGTCTTCTTGTGCTGATATTCTGGCCCTGGCCCACCCAGGGTGAGCATCTTGCAGTGTTGTGTGCACAGGCCTGGTCGGAGCAGTAGGTCACTGGCGTGTGGCCTGGAAGGATTTATTTCTTCCTCGTTCCTCCCTTAATCTCACTCTTCGCTTCCTGCCACCACACTATGTACTATTTCTTCTCTTCCAGTCCCCTCTGCCATGTTGTCCTGCCTTGGAGCCAGCCGACTATAGACTGAAACCTCTACAAACTGTGAAACAAAATAAACCTCTCCTCCTTAGAGCTGTGGGCATCAGGTATTCTGTCCCAGCGATGAGAAAGTGACTAAGACACCCTCAAAGACTTGAAAGCAACTCTTATAGAAACGCCCAGTGATACAAAGGAAAATGTACCCATAATGGTTGATAATACAGGGAATCTTGGCAGAAAAATAAAATTATAGGAGCCACCAATAGAAGTCAGGTGGGGTGGTGCACACCTGTAATCCTAGCACACTGGAAGACTGAGGCAGGTAAATTGCCTATTTACCAAAATCCTGTACCAAAATAAAAAAGAGTTGAAAATATAGATCAGTGTCTCAGTACTGGAAAAGAAGAAGAAAAACAGAGGAGGAAAAGAAGGAGAAGGATAAAGAAGGACCAGGAGGAGAACTTAGAACTGAAAAATACGATATATGAAATAAAAATCTTATCAGATGGCTTAACCACCAAATGAAGAGGACAAATGGAAGACTCAGAGCTTGAAGACAGAGCAGTAGAAGTTACACAAACCAAAGAAGAGAGAGAAAAAAGGTAAAAAATAAAAACAGAAAAGAGGAGTGCCTTAAGGGGAAGTGAAATAATAGCAAAAGGTCTAACATCAGGGTAATCAGAATCAAAAGAGGAGACAACAGAAAAACTAGAGAAGAAAATGCAGGTAAAGAAATAATGGCTAACAAGGCCGGGGGGGTTAGCTCAGTGGTTTCACTGCCTGCTGCGCAAGCACAAGGACCCGAGTTCAATCCTCAGTACCAAAAAACCAAACAAACAAACAAAAAAGAAATAATGGCTAACACTTCTCAGTTTTATCGAAAGGCCTAAATGTATTGATTTAAGGGAGTTAGAAAACCTTAAGGACAAATACAGAAAAAAATCAGACAAATTGCTGGAAACCAAAATCAAAGAGAGGAATCTTAAATGCAGGATGAGAAAAGCAATACATCACAGAGGGCAGTGATCTAAGTCACTGTTGTCCTCTCAGGTGAAACAGTGGAGGCCAGAAGGGGACAAGGTCTCCAGCAGGACAATGACCCTAACCTGCTGACAGGACAAAAGGAAGAAAAACCTCCCAACTCAGAATTTTACGTTCAGCCCAAGACTCCTTGAAGAACCAAGATGGTGTTGTCAAGCCAAGCAAAACAAAACAAAAACAAAATAACTCCTTGCAGACCCATCTTCTCTGCACATAGTGCTGCAGGGAGTTCTCAGGGTTTGATGCCAAGCAGGGTGGGATGTTCATGTAGGGCTGGGCACCACACTGGTCTAGCACATGATGGGAGGCCCTGGGCTCCATCACCAGAGCCATGTGCGCACGGGCACACACAGACATTCAAAATGATCTGATTAAATATAAAAGGCTACTATTTTTCTTAATTTAAAAGACTGCATAGCGTATTCAAAACGAAGATGCTACACTTGTCTGGTGGGGTTGGTAATATTGTAAATGTATGCATAGAGCCGAGAGAAACAGGCCTCTATGGTGGCGAGGTTCCTGCTTTTTATTTGGAGTGGTGCATGATCCACTCGAAATGCACCGTGAGATGCTGCAATCCACAGAGACCACCAAATACGAGGCACAGCAAATGAATGTCACACACAGAAACGGGTGCACAGCTCTGCCAGGCTGCTCTGCGGTAGCTGGGCCAGGAAACTCCAGGGCACTCACTCATCCCCATCACTGAGCACGGCCTGCCAGGACCCCAGGCTTCATATGGAGGCCAGCAACTGTTCCATGAGATGTGGGGGTGGCAAGGAAGAATCAGCCTACAGCCTACATCACGTCCCAGGGATGATGGAAGTGACCATGCAGTGAATCAGAACCCACCAGACCGTAGTTTGTCACACTTCGAGGAACTTTCTCCAGAACATGCCTCCTAGAAAAGACACCGGAAGTGACTAGAATGGATAAATGTTTTAGAGGCCCTGTTGGCAATGGTCCTGAAATCTCAGCACTCTGAGAGGCTGAGGCAGGAGGATCCAAGTTTGAGTCCAGCCTGGGCAACTTAGCAAACCTTGTCTCAAAATAAAAAATAAAAGGGCTGGGGATGTAGCCTAGTGCAAAGGCCCTGGGTTCAATCCCCAATACGGCAAAAATAAAAAATCTGTTTTGTAACAGTTGCAGCTTAGCCTTGAGCTGTGTTGTGAATTGCCTCCAAGGGCTGTGATAATCCTAGGCAATTCAGTGCTGTGTTGGTGCAGGGGGCATGGAAGAGACCTGGACAACACCCGTGTTTGTGGACAGCCTCAAGAGTCCTGCCTGCTGGGCTGTGTGTGTCATGTGCTCCTGCCCCTTGGGGATGGCCTGAGGACGGCCCCTGCCACCTCCTCCCACGCTCACAGCCCTCCAGGCTGGGAAACATTTGCCTACAGACATTCTCCTCCTCTCCATTACATATGTTTTTGTGAAAGGACTAAGCAGGAGAAATTTGCCATGAATAATTCATGTGTAATTGTTTTCAAAACATAAAGTTATTTTTTAAAGCAAGCAACCTAGCATCTGTGGGGTGCAGAGCCCACACGGCTGGGTGCTCACCTAGGACACAGCTCGCTTCAACACATGCTTCCCGCACTCTGTGTTGGGCCACGCTCCACAGGACTGGGCTGAGCTGCAGGCAGATGAAGCGGGTGGCCCAGAGTCTCCATCCTGCACTTCTAAGTCCCCGGGAGGGCCCCAGGAGGAAAGTGTGTCAGGGAAGGTGGGGAACATGACCACGGGTGGACCAGCCAGGGAGAGGAAGGAGGGTACCTTGGACGCCCCTCCACAAACAGCCACAGAGCTTCCCATTGTAGCCCCAGACACAAAGAAAATCCTGTGTTCCCTCTTCATACCGCCCTGCATTATTGGGTCTCTGTTTCACCCATATGAATCATGGAGCTCTAGCTCCTCAGAAGCCATCGCAGTGACAATGCAGTGACTGGGATGAATGGGTGACAGAGCCTTGCAAAGCTCTGCTGAGCTGCCCTGAGTCCAGGTGCCAGGTACGCCAAGCAGCACGGACCTGGTTGGACCTGGGTGTCAGGCTGAGCTGCATGGACCTGTGCCACACTAAGCTCCTGTGCGCCCAGGTGCCATGGTGACTCAGCCTGGGCAGGTGATGCTGGTTCCTTTGTTCCCATGCACTCAACAAACGTATCCGTCCCGGGACAAACCAGTAACAATCCTGAGCAGGAGGGGCTCAGTGGAGCAGGAGCAATGGTGTCAATCTAACCACTCTGCCCTGCCCCCTCTTCCCTGCCAGGTACTGGAGGACAACGGGATGCCCATGGATGAGGTGCAGTACACTCTGCTGGCTACAAAAATCGGTTATAAGAAGGAGGGGATGAGCTATCTGGACTTTGTGACAGGATTCGAAGGTACAGGGGGCCTCACACACCTGTGAACCTTTCCTGCCAGTGCCACCAGGCTCTGGGGTTCAGGGCACCACCACTGCTGTTGAACCAATGTGTGTTCTGGGGCTGGAAGCTGGCATTTTGGAGGGAAATGTGGAGCTGGCCCGGGTGATCTGCTCACCTAGAGCACAGCCTGCTCCTTTGGTCACACCTCATGCCCTTAAGGTTTTCTTCCTCAGAAAGATGCTGCTTATCTGGAATTAATGCTACCCACAGGCAAGGCAAGCAGGATGCCTCCTTGTCAGCAGACAGGGACCCAGACATTCTAAAAGGTCCCCCAGCTATGGTCTCCCCAGCCCCAAAGGTGGCCAGGAAACCAGGAGGCCCATCTTGTGCCGTGAGGTCAGGGCAGGTGGGTCCTCCTGTCGGTGCCCTGTGCCCCTCCTGCTCTCTGCAGTCTCTTGTTTCACAGCCCCAGGCACAGCTGGGAAACTCACATCTGCTCTTTCCTGTGGGTGCCCTCTAGGCTGGCTGCTGCAGCCCTGTGCTGTGTTCCTCCTCCCGGCCTTGGCTCTGAGAGGTGACCATGGCTCCTCTGGAGAGCCTGGCCAGCTCAGCATCAGGGCCCCACACAGCCCTTCCGCCTTGGGGTTTGGAGACCCTCAAGGGAGGCTCCACCCTGCGGGATAAAAGGCCACGCGAGTGGTATTTTGGAGTCTTGCCACGTTCTCTGGGTATGTCTTGATGCTCTTGAAGCAAAAAAAAGGAAGGAGGGGAACTGGTGTGTATTTTAGAGTGCATTCCTTCCCTGGGTGTTCTGCCTGGTGCTCTCCTTTCTTAGGGGAAATGGGGCCAAGGATAAGTATGACGGGCACATGCCTGACACCTGGGCTGGCGAGGCCCCAATGCAGAGCAGCCTAACTCAGCATCTGCCTGATCTCTGCCCTCCCATCCTACTCTTGGTGCCCTGATCTGTCCCTCGGCCCCTCCAAGCAGCCCTGCTGTGCTCCATCAGCCCCCACCCAGCCGGGCCCTTCGGGGAGGGAAAGCCAGGCTCCAGCAACCCCCTGCTGAGCTTCACGGTGGGCACGGCAGAGGGGTCAGGGCATCTGCAGGCAACCACTGGGCCCCTGCACTGGGCTGAAGCTGAGGCAGAAGCCAGGCTCAAGCCTGGACCAGAGAATGCCCAAAACGTTCCAGCACCCACCCCATTTCCAGCAGACCACACCCACAACTGGGCATCTATATCCGTGTCCTTGGTGTCAGGGCCATTGCGGACAAGGACACATTCTGATACCCCTGCCAGATGGGGACCATTTGCCCCCCCCTCAAAGGAAGCAGAAGTCAGGATGCTGTCACTGACCGGTGGGCTCAGGAGGCCATGCCTTGGTTTAGCTGTGCCATTCTGAGTGCTCCCTGAGAGCCAGGGGACCCCTGTGCACCCCATCTTCTGCTCTGTATAGAGCACATGATATATTGCTTATGCTTAGACAAGGTGTGTTTGAGGTTTCTACTTGTTTGAGTTGTTGGAACAACTAAGAACTACATGAAGGCTCCAGCATGGTGTTTGTCAGACATGTGCTGAGGATACTGGTTAACAAGTAGGGAATGAATCCCACTCCTGTCCTCAGGACAGGATTCTAGGGACCAAGAGGAGGGTAGAATTCTCTCCAGGAGCTGGGAGAGGAACAAGACTCAGCCCTGGCTCTCAGGGAACAAAAGAGACACCAGACAAGCACACACTCCATGACACCCAGTACGAGACGCATCCTGTCCCCATAGTCTGGGAACAAATCCCTCTTGTAATAGAAGGAACATTTCTGAGACATGGGAGGAAAAGCAACCAGAAAGCATGCACAACACAGTTAATGCTGTGTTCATGTCTCTGGGGCCCCTGACGGTTAGTATTTAACAAGGTTTGGGAAGGGAAGAAAGCGTTGAAGTAGAAATAAAGAGGCAGGTGTGGCACTAATGGACATCTTGTGATTTATGTCACTGTTTCAGATACTAAAACGAATGGCCCGGTTGCAACTCCACTTCAGACTCTGGTTTCTTCAAAAAGTCACTTGAATGGCCACTTTATAACTGCTGAAGAATGCCTGAAACTTTTCCCCAAGAGACTGAAGGAGTCATTCCAGGTAAAGTGTGACTGTTTTGCCACTCGGCTTGGCTAGGCCTCCCCTCCTGCTTAGCAGCAAGCAGTGCACAAGAGTGTGAGTCCTAGTCGCCCCAGGGGACACGCGGCTCTCCTTGGGCAGACTCAGTGTGATCAGAGAGGTGTCTGCCCCAGATGGTGGTGGTGGGGGGGGCTCTATTCCCTGAGGCCACCATCTGACACTCAGCTAGGAGAAGTCAAGGAAGGAGGGGTAGGGACCTGGCCACCCTGGTGCAGTGACACTGGGACCCACACATCCCTTCCATCCCACTGGTTCAGTCTGTTCTAAATTCTTGAGATGGGAGCCATGAGCCCTGTCCAGAGCTCAGTCTAATCCAAGACACCGGGGCCGAAGTCTCAAGGTGGACTTCCTGGAGGAGGTGACTCCTGCACTGATTCTGAAGTTCCCATCATGTTCTGGGTGGACAGGGAAAAGCAAGTCCTTGGTGGGAGAAGCGAGCCCGGTGTGGCAGATGGAGCTAGGGAAAGACACAGGGCTCACTGTGGTGGAGAGTGGGATTCCTGTGCGCATGGCGAACAGCAGCTACCCAAGCACGGAGACAGGGACAGAAAGCCGTAAACTCTTCTTGTGCTGAGTAAAGAGGGGGATTGGAGTGGGAAGGAACATCAGCTCCAAAAGCGGGGCTCAGGGGGCAGGGACCTGGAGGACTAGAAGGTGCCCAAACCTGGTGGGAGGAAAGGATGGTCAGGGGACAGAAGGATCAGAGGTTAAGTGCAGAGGAGGAGGGAGGAGGAGAGGCCTCAGGGGCCTAGGATGGAGGAGCCAAAAGGTAGACGCTGTCCTCCTGAACTGGTCACCAGCTGCAGGGTCACTTGGTTACCCTGTTCCGGTTTTAAATAAACCTTTGATCGTGACCACTCCACCCAGCTGGGCTAGTCCAGGATGGCCTGACGTGGGACATTCTCTGCTGTCATCAGACTGTGCATCCTAATTTTTGCTTTGGAAAAATGTGGTCACCAAATGCATCTGTGGAGAAAGATCAGTCCTCCTGATTGGATCCACCCCAATACTCAGCCATGAGTGGAGAGGGGCAGGGGTCTCGTGGGTCGTGAATGAGGAAGCCTGCCAGGGTGGGACAGGGACAGGGAGCTGATGTTCCCTGGCCCAGCCCGGCTCCTCCAGCCCCTCATCTGTGTTCCCGTCATACACCCTTGCCTGTCACAGTAGGGCAGGGGGAGTCCAGCCCCGGACCAGTGGCACCATTGACCTCTAATCTTGGTTATCACGATTGCTTGGCTACAGGGAGCATATATCCTATATTTTCTAGCATGATCTCTATTTGAAATTAAATTAAATAATGATTAGATTCAATAGATGTTTATCGACACCCACTCCGTCATGTGGAAGGTTTTTATAATCCAGTGGGTAAAACAAAGACCGTTATCCCAGTTCTGATATGAGACAGGCCAGCCGCAGGTTGCATCGGGCTCCCTGGGCCCAATTCTTTGTGTTTGCAAATTTCTGAACTGGTCAAAATGCCATCGTTGCTGATATTGTTGGTGTTGTTTCCCAGTTGGAAGCCAAAGGCTCTATCTCAGCCCTCGATCAGACGTACAGACCACGGCAAGGTTGTGTGGGTCCCTCGCACCCTGGCAGCTGCTAAAATGCCAAGGAAGCAGGGACAGAGACCCCATGGTGGCCTGGGGATGTGCCCTGATACTGAGCCGCGTGCAGATTCTCTGAGGCACCGTGAGCTGACCCTTGACCCGGGCTTCACCTAGAAGCACAGGTGCAAAGGAGCCTGCACCATCCTCCAGACCCCTTCTCTGCAGGGCTGGGCATGTGCACCTGCATCCCATTAAAAGCCACACCCATGAGCAAGACTCCCATGCTCCCTTTCTCCCGCTCCTGTCTGTCCTGGGCATCTGGCTGTGCCAGGCAGTCTTGACAACATGGAGCCCCGCCCAGGCACCACACACCCCAAGAGGCTGCCACCATCCCAGCCATACAGCAGAGATCTTGCGTAGTTGTTGAGATCCCACACCACGCGCCAGGCAGTGAATGAGATGCATTGAACACAGGGCCTTGTCTACTTCAACCTCTGCTCTACCCCATCAAGTAGATATGAGCGTTCCCATTTTATAGTTGGAGAAACTGAGGTTAGAGACGCGGAGCTGCTTCTGCATAGCTGTACACTCTGTAGGTGTCAGAGCCCAGAAATGGGATAATATCTGTCTGATTGCAGAGCCTGTGTCATACAATAGGATCTGTTCCAGGAAGCTGAGGGCTGAGATGTGGGAGGTGATTATTTTATAAACTTGTGCAGGTCATGAACATCAGGTCACCTTGCACCTAGATTGTCACTCCAGTGTACCTGAGGGCTGCAGGTCGCTGGCATCACACCCGCTGTCCTTGTCACATGGAATCGGTGTCATTTGCTTCAGTCTTCCTTCCCCGACACACTGTGAGGACCATGATTCATTTGGTCTTCGCCATGGCCTGTACTTAGCAGAGTGCTTGGCACACAGCAGGTGCCCAGGAAATACCCAGCGGCTTCCTCCCGCAGATATCGCTGAGCCCTGCTCTGGGGCTGGGGCTGTGATGGGAGCAAGTGGCAGCCCAGGTCCAATGCTTCTGTCTCAGAGGGAAGGCGGGCCCAGGACACGTGAGCCTGCAGTGTGGCAGTGGGGACAGGCACCGTGAAGGAAGACGAGGATGAGGAGCTGGCAGTGTAGGATGGCAGCTGGGAGCCTGTGAGGGGTTCCTGAGGATTCAGGGACCCTGGCCAGGGAAGAGGCAGTGTGCTGGTGTCTGATGGAGATCTAAAATGTCCCTCAACGTTTGGAAGGTGGTTGGATCATGGAGAGCTATAGTCATCAGTGGATTCATCACTGAGGAGCTCGTGGCTGTCTGTGCTGCTAGGAGGTGGTCCTGGGGGAGTGAGCCGGAAGGGAGTGTTCTGGTCCCCAGCTCCTCCCTGCTTCTCTGCTTCCTGTCTGCCACAGGCTGAGCAGCTTTCCTCCAACAACCTTGCCTCTCTCTGCCCTTCCCTCCCTGGAGCCAGCCAACCATGGGCTGAGCCCACTGAAAACTGAGCCAAGTTAAACCTCTCTTCCTTTAAGTTGTGGGTGTCAGGTACGATGTCCCAGTGACATCAGAAAATCACCAGTACAGCTGGGGAGCAGGGAAGATTCCGGATGCACTCTGAGGGGAGAGTGGAGAGGTGTGTGGAGGTGAGGGATGTGGGGGGAAGTGAGGAGGACTTCAGGGTGTGTGGTCCCAGCAGCTGCCACCTACAGAAACAGGAATGCATGCAGAGGAACAGGCGGGGTGGGCTGGGGGCAGAGTTTGCTTTTGCCTGGCTCGGTTTGACCCCTAGGAGGAAATGCCCCATCTGATGGAGAAATGGGGGTGAGGGGGCCTGGAGCTGGGGGTCAGAGGGGATCATCATCAAGCAGATGGGCCGGAAGCCCTAGGAAGCCCCCGGAGAGGGCAAGGCCACAGCCTCCCAGCCGGTGGCAGTAATTCTGAGGGGCAAGGGCAGAATCTTCTTAATTGATGTCTACAGTATTTAGCACAGTGACTGCACATACCAAGTGCTGACTGGTTAGTGAATGAACAGAAGAGTGAAAACCACTAAATCTTCTCACAACATCCCAAAACACATGATCCATCAGGCCTTGAGTCAAAGCAGGGCTTGCTTCGCATCCTGAACAAGCCCAGTGGGAGGGACAGTAGCGACAGTGGGGACAAAGGCAGAGCCCCAGACTGGCCAGGTGCCTCCTGGGTTGGGGCAGAGGCAGGTGCCCGAAGGAGCACATCCATCACTGTTCAAGCCAGAGACCTGGGAGCAACATGAACAGGAAACAGGCGTCAGGCCAGACAGCCTCCCACTCTCTTGAGAGTTTGGGCAACAGAAATCAGGACTGGCAGCATTGTAGAGCACTCACAAAAAGGGGCCGGGCAGCGTTTTTCATGTCACTGCTTCCAGCAAGCAGAAGAGGAAGTTACAAGAACTTTATTGTGGCTGGTGAGCAGTACAACTGATTTGCACCCTCAATCAATCCAGAGCCCCCTGACCCCGAGTCTGTTTCCTCATCTGTAAGGGTGAAATCCCTGTGCCCTCCCTCTGGGCAGCACCATGGACAGAGTAGAGGTGTCCTGGCCTTCCAGTGGCCGCTTGGTGGGAAACAATCTATTTGCCTGTAGACGGCGGTAGCCACACATTATGAAAGCCACTGACAACGGGGAGAGCAAGATGCTGAAATGCATTAGAAAGCTCTAGCACCCTCTCCTTACTCTGCATGCAGGGGGTACAAGTGTCACAAGCTGGGCTGAAGGGAAAGGAAAGCTCCTCTGTCCCCGTGTCCCAAGCAGAACAGGGCCAGGAGACCAGGGGAGCTGTGGACTCGCCAAAGGCCACTAACCTTCCTCCAGTCCCAGCCCGCAGGAGCAGCATGGGACAGTTGGGGCTGGAAGGGTATCTAGTGGCCCCAGGTGCAGAAGGGAAGTGCATTGACGTGTGCATTTTGTTTCTAGGACCCCTACTCTGCCTTCTTTAAAATAGACACTGACAGGGATGGCATAATCAACATGCGCGATCTTCACAGATTGCTACAGCGGCTACTCTTCAACCTGAAAGACGAGGAGTTTGAGCACTTCCTTGGCCTTCTTGGCTTGAGACTTAGTGTCACTTTAAACTTCCAGGAATTTCAAAATCTGTGTGAGAAGAGGTCCCCCCAAATGGACGAGGCACCCCAAAGACTCATTAGATAAGGAGACAGTGGGAATCAGCATCTTCTACGCACACTGCTGGAACATCCGAAGGGTTAAAGCCGTTCTTTTCTGTTTCTCTGGGTCTAAGAAAATCCACATCGGCCTATGCATTCAAGGTAAAGCAAACCAGAAAAGCACATCCCTGGCTCCCCACCCAAAGCACTGTCTTATCTGTCACGGGGTGTCCCGCCTGCCTGTGCACACTCATCTTTCTGTCTGTTAATCTGATGTCAGCTCTATATGCTTTCTTGTTTTCAATACTAGGGATTGAGCCCAGGGTCTCCTCACTGAGCTACATTCCTAGCCCTTTTTAAATTCAATTTTTTCTTTTTTTTGAAAGACAGTCTCACTAAGGCACTACGTTGCCAGGCTGGGCTGGAACTTGCGATCCTCCTGCCTCAGCCTCCCAGAGAGCTGTATATGTTTTTGGCTCAGCCCTTTAAGAATGCAGTTTCTGAGGCCTCTCTGAGCTCTGCTTAAGGCTCGGCTCCTCCAAGGGACCACTGCAGGGGGAGCTTGGTTCCAGTGCCTCCTTGTGGACGGAACACATGACCACCATCCCCACCCCCTAAAAACGACCCTCCCTGCCTCCTCCCCCCTGCAGATGCTCAGCTAGGCCACAGATGTGAATCTGGGGACCCCAGACTGTCTTGGAGCAGTCGGCAGGAACAGAGGTGTTGTCTGTCCCCACTGCCCTCTAGCCCTTCGGGGCAGTGCTACCCCCAGAGCCCTGCCCGATGGCACAGCCTCACACTGCCCAGCAGGAGCCTTAGCACCCAGCTGGGCTCTGCACTCACTGCTCTTCGGCCTTTTCTGCGCAAGCATGTGCACTCCCTGCAGGTTGGGGGCCACCTCAGGGCCACAGCCCAGTGCTGGCCTGGGGGGGTGGAGTCTCCCCTCCTTGACAAACTATTGTAAGTTAATATTTTCAAAACGCCACCCACTACATTAACACAAGGTGTGTTTCCAACCCAGGGGGCCCACACAGTGGTGACCTCCGCTTGCCCTTTTGACCTTGAGATGCCCACAGCCTGGGTGCTCCAGGTGAGACCTCCCTTCTACCCGGCCACATGGAGCCCCCAGAAGCCACGGCCACTGTGCCAGACTGTGTGAAATTTGGTGAGGCTACACAAAGCCCTCAGACCTTGCACTTTTTGATTTTTCTTTTGCACTCATAGGTTTCATTTTAGGTTCCAAGGGTGAAAAAAAGCGAGAAAACAACTGTAGTCTCTTCCTGTGGGAAGTGGTCACATGACACGTGAGTCGCACACTTGCATCCCATTGCTCGGGTTCTGAGGAGCTTTCAGATGGGATTTGATTGCTGAACTTTAAAACAGAACAACAACAAAAATCCTCCGAAATGTTCAACCTCAAAGCACCACCTTCCCCTTGCAGGGACTCAGCTGGGTTACTTGGCTCTGTTCATCCATCCGGCAGATGCTCAGGCAGGGTCTGTGCTGGGCTGGAAGCTGTCCCAGGACAGGGTGCAAATGTGGGTGCGGTCAGAGGCTCCCTGGGGCACAGAGGCCCAGGGCAGGACGAACGGCTATGAACTCCCTGTGTGTTCTTTACTGGCCGGCTGTGGAAGTTTGAGTGCCATGGGGTGAGGGAGTCATGATGGGCTCTAGCAGGGTCATTCGTTCAGCAGCCCCAGACAGGAGGGTGAGCTCCATGTGCCATGGTGTCCTTTGCTCCACCAGCCCTGCAGACGGAGGCCCCAGGCTCCTAAGGACCCAGTCCAGTGGAGAGGAGGTGGCAGAGAAGGAAGCCCAGGGTGCCTGTCAGGAAGAGTCGCCTCCTCTGCCCGGAGAGCCTACCCTGCTCCCCTGCCCAGCCCCAACCATCTCCACCCCTCTAGCCCACCAGCCTACCTTCCTAGATGCCTTCCTGCCCTCTGGGTGTCCACCTACCACCTACACCATCCAAATGCAACGCTTTGAAATCTTTGGGTTTTGTGACTTTGTTGAAGAGAGGGCGCTATCTTGTTTGCCTCAAAATTGCAAGGTATTTTTGGTTTTAGGTACTAAATGCCAATCAGAATGACAGGCCCAATGACTTGCTTCATTTCTACAGCCCTGGTCCCTTCCCGTCCCCTTAACAGACCCCCACCACCCACACGTGTCCCCTCGTAGCCCACACCAAGTACATTTTGATGCATAAGTGTCTTAAAAGTTGTAAGATACTGTCAGGTCCTTCTCACAAAACTAGATGATGCAGATTCTTCACACAAAACATTGCATAATCAGTTCCTTCCTGTTGAATGACTGAAAGACAAGAACAGATTTCCACTTTCGTCCTTAGAAATGCCTCATTCGCTGACCAAGAGCTTGGCTGGTGCAATCAGAGCTGCATCCTCCCTGCAGTCTGGGGAGCCGTTCTCTCATCCTCTGTGTTCGCCCTCCAGGTCATCTAACAGTCCCGAAAGCCCCTTCAGCCTCACTTTCATCCCTCAGCTGTCTGGGCACGATGGGGGAATTCCAAATTTTTGACAATTTGCAGTGCAATCTACTCTAAAACTATGAGGATGGAGTTGCAGTTTTCTTGAAAGAGATCCTGGTACTGTGACAGGAATGGCAAAGGGTCCTGTGCCAGTAGTGAGTGCTGGCTCACCTCCGTATTCTCTCTTCCTGCTGGCGAGGCCGTCAGTGTTTGTTTTCTTCTTCTTACCTTCTCTTTTTCTTTGCATAGTTGGGAACACTTGACGAGAAATGAAATGTTTTCTGTGTAACGAAATGCACATAAGCGGAATGAGAATCAACATCACTAAGACCCTGTAATATACAATAGGTATGGAAGGGCGTTCAAAGGACCCATATGGTAATCACAAGACAGAAGCTGTTTATATAAAGAAAATAAGGAAAACAGTTTTATTCTTTGGAAGACCACTAAGAAAGAAGAAAGGTCAGGAATACCAATTCTGATTTTGGTATCATGGTGCAGCTGGCCTCATAAAATAAACTGGGTAACCTTCCTTGCATACTTTATGGATTACGTAGAATGCTTATTATTCCTTCCTTAAATATTTGATTGAATTCACCAAGGACATCATCAAGATTTGGAGTGTCCTTCATAGGCAGATCTGTAACTAAGCTGGTTAGTTTGGTAGTCATAGAGTCATTCAGGGTTTCTATTTCTTCTTGAGTGAATTTTCATTAATTTGTGTCTTTTAAGATATTGGCCCATTTCACAAAAGTTGTCAAATGAATGAGAATAAAATTGTTCATGTAACTTCCTTATTATTCCTTTAATATCTGTAGGGTGTTTAACAATAGCCCTTTCATTTAAAAAAAAATTGGTAGATGGTATATTCCCCCCTTCTTTCCTGATCACCTTAGCCAAGATTTATCAATTTTATTGATCTTTTCAGAGAACTAGTTTCTTGTTTCATTGATTTTCTTCTATTTTTCTATTTTATTGATTTCTGGTCTTTATGATTTCCATCTTTCTGCTTTTTCTTTTAGTTTTCTCTTCATTTTTATTTCTTAAATTGGAAACTCAGATTTTTTGAATCCATTCTTTCTCCTCCATCGCACTGGAGAAATATTTTTTATCTCCTATCAAAGAAGGGGAAAGAACATTTAAATTGGTGTTTGGTAGGACTATAATGAAAAGTTGTAATAGTTTTATTGAAGTATAATTTATATACCATAAAATTTGCTCATTTTAAGTGATTTCTAGTAAATTTTAAAAGTTGTACAATCATTGTTACAATCTAATTTTTAAACATTTCTATTATCTCAGAAATATCTTTTAAAATTTTTATTTTTACCTTTACTAGTGCTTGTTTGCAGTACATCGCGATTGCATTCACCGTGGGGTGTTGGTGCGTGGACATCACATGTCTGACTTCTTGTTTACATCTCCTTCACTTCCCACTCTCCCATCATTCCCCTCCACCTCTTGATTCCTTTTCCTTTTGCCAAAGATCTATCTTCCCATTTCCTATTATCTTTTGTTTTGCTCTTTAATTTATTTATATTTTGGGTTTCTCGTGTAAGAGAAATCATGCAATATTTAAGCTTGTGTGTCTGATTTATTTCATTTAACATTATGGTCTCAGGGTGCATCCATTTTCCCACAAATGACTCAACTTCATCTCTCTTTATGGGAGAGTAGTACTCCACTCTGTATAAATACCACACTTGCTTTATCCATTCATCTGTTGGTGGACATATAGGCTGCTTCCAAGATTTGGCTATCAGGGATATGCATGTATCACTGTTATTTGATGACTTTAACTCTTCCAGGAAGATACCTAGGTGGGGAGTATCTGGGTGGAATGGAATTTCTGGTTTTAGTTTTTTGAGGAATCTCCATACTAATTTCCATAGTGGTTCTATCAGTTTACATTCCCACCAACAGTGTAAAAGGTTCCTTTCCCCCTTCATTCTCATCAGCATTTGTTACTGTTTGGTTTTTTTATGATAGCTTTTCTTCCTGGAGTCCATTCTTGTGTGTATATGTGTGTGCGTGTGCATGTGTGTGTGTGTCCAGATCCTCTCTGCACACTTCTAGAGTTAGAACTGGCCTTAGCCCTAAGCTGGAAAGGGAATAAGGGAAGGAAAAGCCCACACATCCCATGACTGTCATTCTTTGAGTTTTGATTTCCTGTCCACCAGCCTCCTATCATTTAGATTTTAGTGTCCTCATAGAGGTACATTTTGTATTCTATGCAGAGCTTCGGTGGTAATAAGAGGGAGAGGAAGGGCAGAGGGGTCCACTGCATCTCACCTGGGAGTAGAACTTCACCTCAGGACTCTTGCATGGCTTGGGTGCCCCTCAAGCTCCTCACATAGCAGCTGCCACCTCCTCATACACATTTCAGAGAGCAGCTCCCTGGCCTCCTGCTAATGCCCCTTCCCCCATCATTCTTGGAGAGCCTCCGTATCTGAAGTCATCCGATTCACTTATTTTTCAGTGTGTTTGTCCTAAGTCCCCTGTAAGGGTGGAGGCTCCCATCTACTCTGCTTGGGTTGGGGAAGATGGAGATCATTCAGGGGCTCATGCCCCTCAGGGGTCTGTGATAGCTGTGGGGCAGTCCCAGCGAGTCCTCTGAGTTCAGGGAGGATTTAGGGAGAGTCTAAAAGTGAAGGCAGGTGATACACATCCTGACCCTTAAAATTCTTTTAAGTAAAAGTGCCAGAGATGAGACACAATCCCATCAGCTTCCCACAACCTTGGTGCTGAGGTGGTGATAGGGCAGGGGTGGCAGAGGTGAGACCCCTCTTCCACCCTGGAAGTTCCATGGTTCTGTGGAGTCTGGGAGGCAGTTGGAGCAATGGCGCAGAGGGGCAGGTGAGGTCAGGGGCTGGTGACTCAGATGTGTGGGTGAAGCATCCAGGTAGCAGCCAGGGACATCAGAAGGGGGTGGATGGGAGCCAGGCAGAGGGAATACACTCACTCCATCTAGCAACTGAGGCAGGCACCTGCCACATCCCCACTGTGGGGTCACCATGCCCTGTACAGAGTTGCATCCCCAGCCTGATTTGCTTGAGCGAAAGGGAAGACCCAGGGCACCCCAGTTCCTTTGGCCAGGTTTCACTGTTCTTGTACCCGGGGCCAAGAGAGGAAGGTGTTCTGTTAAGGAGCAGTCACGGTGTGAGTAAACATAGCAGAACTTTGATTCTCTTTAAATCCTACAATCCTAAACTTTGAAAATTAGCTGAGACCCAGAAATCTGTAAGCTGTGCTCTCCAATTATCCCTCAACTGTTTAGACTGCATTTTCTCTCCATCTTGCAAATTCAAAAAAGTTTACAGTTGTTTTAAACCTAAGATCCTTAATGTTGTATTATCCCCCCCAAGAATAAATGAGCCCTTGTTTGTCTTGTGTGTTGCAAAAAAAAAAAAAAAAGTTGAATAGCATTTATCTGAAAATAAACAGGGCCTTACAAAATTTAAGAAGACTTCCCTACCATACAGCTGGGAAATAAGACTGTATTTTAAGAACTAAGTTAGACCAGATGTGACATAACAGACTTTAATGGTATCTTTGAAACAAACAGGGGGTAAGGGAACCCTTTGGGAGATTCACGAGCCCATTAAATTTAAACACAGTTACTTATTAATTTTTTTCTCTTTTAAGACCCAAACAGAAAGTCGCGGATTCAGAACTAGCCTGTGAACAGGCTCATCAGTATCTTGTTATCAAAGCAAAAAACAGATGGGCGGACTTGTCCAAGGTAAGAAAATGATGATTTCCTTAAAAGCAAAGAAAATGTATTCCAGTGTTTCAAGACCGCCGGGAAGATCAAGCTGTTTAAATCTAGCCATGGAGATGGCTGTGGAACAACTTTGTACACCCCATTCACTGACTCCTTGTGTTCTCAAAAGACTTTTCCAAACTAAATCCTCACGTTCAAGGTCAACTGATGTTCAGAAAGGTGAGTTATTCTAGGAGTTACCTAGAGAAAGTCCTGGTCATAGTCCAGGCCAGATGAGAATTACAAATTTAATTGAAAAATATGAGAAGCTGTCATATGTAATTTGGCATGATTATAAATTTGCATTTTAAAGAGCAGTTTCCTCCTCTCTTGCCAAAATGATAGGAAGCACATTTACCAAGCAGACGCCCTTCATGTGCAATCACATGAGTTATGGCTGTGGTTCTGAGCTGTGGACAGGAACTCTGACAACATGACAGCTCTAGCTACAGGGTAATAGACGTCAGGGTCCGTCCTGACACCAAGGATACGGAGTCACTATTTCACAGTGCACAAGGATACAGTAACATCCTGTAGCAAGTTTTACAACTGCATGATGGAAGTATTTGCACATTGCGAAGAATGTCTCTGCTGGGTTTCACTGGGTCACTGTCTTTCCATTTGCTCTTCCTTGGCCTGTGCCCATTATGTAGTTCTGTCCACTAAGTCCCCTCCAGTGCTGGCCTAAGCCAGTCAATCACAGCCCAAATCTCTGCATGGCCCACTGAGCCAGGGCTAGCCTTGCATGGCTACCCTGCAGGCTAGGAGTATGGGCAGGGTCTGGGATAGAAACCTTGGTGCCCACTCGCTGGGAAGAGAGCAGGTCCAGCTAGGGCACTGTCCCTGTCCTCTGTGCCAGCTTCTCTATGACCTCTGTCACTCAGGGCCAATCTGGTAAAGAAGAATCCCCTAGCCAAGTGCAATGGTACACGTCTGCAATCTTAGCAATCTGGGAGGCTGAGGCAGGAGGATCACAAGTTCAAGCCCAGCCTGAGCAACTTAGTGAGAACTTGTCTCAAAATTTTAAAAGTACAAAGGATTGGGGGTATAGCTCACTGTGAGGCTCTGGTCTCCAGCCCCAATACAAACAAAAACAAACCAAGAAAAACCCTCTGTGGCCAGCCATCCTTTCCTCCCAGGGCAGTAAACATGCTCTGCCACCACTCTTCCCCTTCTCCTCCCTCCTCTCTCTGCAGTCCACCCACTAACACAGACCAGACTAGCCATAGCCTCATCTTCCGAGCCTCCTTGTGGACCCCAGGGAGTCTGAAGACCAACTCCACCCACCCCCAACTTTGTCCTTTCCTGCTTTGATTTGTTCAGCACATGCACCAGGCATGCACCAGGACCCAGGGGTCACAAAGGGCCATCTGACACAGGCCTCGTGAAACTTGCAGACCAGTGGAGGGACAGCTACTAAGTAGCAATGCAGATAATAAGCAATGAGGCCTGCTGTACAAAAGCAGACCTAATAAGCAGGCTGTTGGAGAGTGACAAGTGCCTGGGGCACTTCATCTCTGCCATTGGTTCTGGGTTGCTGTCGCCTATGTCCTTGCCAGCACTTGGTATTGACCATGTTCTGGGTATGTGCCATTCACCTAGATGTGTGGTGGTGTCTTGTTGTTGTTTTAAATTGCATTTCTCCAATGACATATGATTCAGGACATCTTTTCATATGCTTATTTGCCTGTTAAGATCTTGACCCATTTTCAAATTATTTTTTTATTATTAAGTTTTTAAAGTTCTTTATAAAATGCCTAAAAGATAATATAGGTCACCTAGATTTTCTCCTATGTTATCTTTTAGGCCTTTTATAATTGTGTATTTTATACTCAGATCTGAGATCCACTTGGAGTTAATTTTTAATGAAGTATGTAAGGTCTGTGTCTAGTTTTTTGTTGTTGTTTTGTTTTGTTTTGTTTCAGTGGATGACTACTTGCTCCAGCACTGTTTATTGAAAAGACTTCTTTCTCCATTGTATTGCCTTTGCCACTTTGTCAAAAAGCCATTGATTATACAGTGGGCCTTCAAGTTACAACTGGCCTGACATACAAACAACTTGGGTTATGACCAGAATTTTAGTTCTAACTTATGATCCAAGTCTTGAGTAATGACCAAATCCTGGCCGCTTGTGCTTCCAGATGGTCTCAGATACAGATTTAACCCTTAAAGAGTTCTGGAGGGAACATGACAACATCCTTTCCTGTGTGGGGGTTCACTGAGCAATCCTGGGCCAGTGTCTCTCTAAGGACACTGAGATCTGCCTGTGTACAGGAGAGAGACTTTGAAGGCTGTGGAGAGGAGCCTGAGCTCCTCAAGTCAACCAACTTGAGTTAACCAGCCCTCAGGAATGAACTGAGCTTGTAAGTCAAGGGTCCCCTTTACACATGTGGGCCTGGCTCCCAGCTGTCTATTCTGTTCTACTGACCTATTGTTCTGTTCTTTTCCCAACTGTACTGTTGTGATTGCTGTAGCCTCACAGCACACCGTGAAGTTGAGCCATGCTGGACCTCCAGCTTTTCTCTTCTGCTTCAGTACGCTTTGGCTCCTCTGGGCCTTTTGCCTCTCCAAATAAACTTTAGAATCAATCTGTCAATATCCACAACGTAACTTGCTGGGGTGTTAATCAGATTTGTATTAAATAATCCATAGATCAAGTTGCGAAGAACTGATATCTTGATGATATTGAACCTTCCCATCTATCAACAAGGAGCATCGCTTCATTTTATTCCTTTCTCTTCTGTGATTTTCCTTATACAGATCTTGTATATGTTGTGTTAAACATATACCTAAGTATGTCTGTCATCTTGGGCAGTTCTAATGTAAATGATGTTGTGTTTTAATCTCAAATTCCATTTGTTCATCGCTGGCATACAGGAAAGTGACAGACTTTTGTACCTTAATCTTATATCTTGCAACTCTGGCACTATTGCTTTTTAGTTCTAGGAGAGTCTTTGTTTGTTTGTTTGCATTTTCAATTCTTTAATATTTTCTATGTAGACAATCATATCATCTGTGAAAAAAGACAGTTTTATTTCTTCTTTTCCATTCTGTATACTTTTAATTTCCACTAGTTACTGCATTAGCTAAGATTTCCCATAAAATGTGGAAAGACAGTGGTGAGAGGGAACGTCCTATGCTCACTCCTGATCTTAATGGGAGAGCTTCTGGTATCTCATCCCTAGGTATGATGTTAGCTATAGGTTTTTATAGCTACATTTTTATCAAGTTAATAAGAAGTTCCCTTCTACTCTTAGTTTACTAAGAGTTATCATAAATGGGCATTGGATTTTGTTAAGTGCTTTTTCTTCACCTTTGATATTATCATGTGGTTTTTCTTCTTTTTTCAGTTGATGTGATGGATTGCTTTAATGAATGTTTCAAATATCGAACCATCCTTGTATAACTGGGTCAAGCCCCACTTGGTCAAGGTGTGTAATTCTTGTTATATATTGTTGGATTTCATTTGCTGGTATTTTGCTGAAGATTTTCACAGCTACGTTCATGAGAGTTACTGGTCTGTAGTTTCCTCATAGTGTTTTGGTATTAGAGCAATGCTGGCCTCATGGAACAAATTAGGAGTGATCTTCTGTTTCTGTCTTCATGGTTCCTGTGGAGGATTTTGCTCAAGGCTGCTGCTCCAGTAAGTTGTGATTCTCTGAATTCACCTGTCTGTTCTCTCCAACTTGGCAGAAGTGGTTTGCTCTGTGACCTGACTTCCCTTTGGATGTAAGAACTATTATTGATTTTTCAATTTGTTCAGATTTTTACAAGTTTTGGGGACAGAGTGGTGGCTTCCAATATTTTTACATGCCACATTTGCTACATGTTCTTAAAGGGACTTTGAAATGCTTTAGAATGAATATTTAAATCCTAATTTTTAAAAATATGACTCTACTGGGGAGTATTTAAAGTGCATATGCATAGTTCAAATAAATTTAAAGTGGTCACCATGTAACTGCCATCTGAATAAAGTTAAAGAACAGTGTCCTTATCATAGACCATGAGTCAAGCAGCACACTTCTGGAGGGGACCAGACAGTTGATATTTTTGGCTTTGTGTAAGGCCTCTGTCACCACTCAGCCCTGCCGTTGTAGCACTTGGTACTCTCAGACTTAATTTTTCCGATGCTAGTGGATTTACAATAGTATCTTATTGTGTTTAATTAACATTTTATTGGTTATTAATGAAATCAAGCATCTTTTCATTTGTTTATTCATTTGTCAGGTTTTCTTTGTTGTCTAGTGCTTACTTGAGACTTTTCACAGTGTTCAAACGGAGTTGTTGTTTTCTAATTGGCCAATAGGAATTTTACTGTTCCTGGGTATTACTTTCTTTTTATTGCAGTGCTGGGTGTCCAGCCCAGGTCCTGTCACAAGCTAGGCAATAAACAACTCTGCCACTGAGCTACAATCCAGCCCTGGTTACCACTCTTTTGTAAGTGATATTGATGCAAATATCTCCTCTCAGTTTGATTTCTCTTTCTGGTGTTTTTATCTGGAGTCTTGTGATACCTACAAGATCTTTTCTTTAATGCAGTCAAATTTATCAGCATTTCCCTGGAGGGCTTGTTTGAGAAATCGTGTCCTGCCCTGAGGTCATGAAGATCTTCTCTCACAGTCTCTCCTAGGAGCTTAGGAGTTTCCTCTTTCCTGTGCAGGTCTGGGGATCTGGACTGGATGTTTATGTGTTGGGAGGATGGGGCCAACTCCTCTCTTCCCTGTGGATACCCTGGCAGCCTCGCCTTTCGCCACAGGCCCTCCTTCCCCGGCTGACCTGCTGCATCACCACCAGGGCCCACAGTGTCTCCAGATGCCTCCTTCCGTCTCACTGGTCAACCTGTGTTCCCTGGCACCTGTACCTCATCTTTGCAGTTGCTATAACTTACTGATATATCATAATTAGCTGTAGGCAACTCCTTCCACCTCATTTACCAAGGGGTTTTGAATCAGTTTGCCAAATTCCATTTTTAAAAAACTTACTGAGAAGGGTTAAGACTTTTCTATATAGAGGTCTTATGTATCATGTATAGATTTATTCTCAGGACTTTCCATTTTAGTACTGTCTTTAATTTTTCTTTTCCTATAACTGATATATAAAAAGGTGATCAATTCTACCTGTTCATATAGAATCCGGGCTTTCTTGTTAAATTTGCCTCATATGCAACTTATTTGTGATCCTTTGTGTTCCTATGAATACAGCCCTGCCCCCTGGGAATAATGATGGTTGCTGGGGGGGCGGGGTTCTTTCACCAGTGGCATAAGGTTTGAAGAGGACCTTGTGCCCATTCTGGCTACCCCATTGTGTTGCCACCAGGAGATTAAAGAGCTGTCCCTTGGAAATCATTAGCTGGGTACCATGATGTTGGCTGCTGTTCCAATCTGTGGTCCTCCTAAATCCCTACCAAGTCACCAGGTACTGTTGTGCCTCTGGGGGACACTGATATGGTGCCGCATCATCCTGTCACTCCAGCTGGCACCTGATGTGCCCCACGTCATCTCTCACAGCCAGGGGACCAAAACCACGCACTGTTGGGGCAGGAACCCTCAATCTCATTTCTCAGTGTCTGGTTCACCCTCGTTTCCAATAGGGAGTAGATTCCAGGGCAAGCCCCAGAGACCGTGCTTTTATCCCTTAATAATTTCCTTCAACACATGACGCTTGTCCCTGAGGTGTTCATCATCTTCCCTACAGGATCGATGAGGACACCTGGAACTGAGGGTAAAGGAGGAAGAGAACCCCCTTAGATCATTTTAGACACTGACTAGTAAGCACACTTTATATGCTACTAAATGCCATTTTGACATTGTAGAATTTTATAGAAACGGATACCGAGGGCAATGGCATCCTTCGACAACGGGATATAAAGAACATCTGTATGGCTTTGACATTCCCCTCACACCAAGAGAATTCCAGAAGCTTTGGCAAAGGTAAGTGGAGTCTACAGGATGGTCCAGATCTGTTCTGATGACCTTGGGGTGATTGTTCTGGCAAATTCCATGCAAATCTTTCACCACCTCTTCAAGGAGCTGGGAAAGGTTTTCTTGGGTTGGTGTCAGTCCTGGGTCCTGGGTCTTGGAACCTGGATGCCTATTCCTCCTTCCCCATCAAAAGCAGCTGTGATGGGCAGGCTAGGCTCCAGAAATGTAGAGAGCTGTGGTAACCCCTCTCCAGTGATACTAGACTTGAGAGTTTTGTGTATCCCAGAGCACAGGCGTGCAGGCTCACATACTCACTGTTTTAAAGAAATAAGTCACTCTCCGAAGACTTCCCTCTAATACCACTGGCTCAGCACACAGATGAGCGATGGGTAAAGGAAATGGTGGTTTCCCCATCACCTACAGATGGAAATCAAACTTGCACAATGGTTTTATAGATAAGAAACTTGTTGGAAGAAAATAACCAAACTTTTGGCAACTTGGAGTTGTTTCCCAAAGGCCCCTTAGACTGAAAATAGAATCTAATGTAGATGCCATTTTTCAGAACGTGTTTTAGATGTAGCTGCTTTTGAATCGGGCCCCCAGTTGTGATATTCCCTGTGTAGATGTCTTGAGTTCTAAGCGCCAGGCCCATCTCTGATTGCTTCCTCCTTCATTGCATCCTCGTTGCCCCTTGGGCTCCTGCAGGACAGCACATCCACCCTGGCGTCCACTCAAGAGCCAGCTCAGAGCGCAGCACCTGTCATCCTTCAGCTTCTCATCTGTTCAGAGTGGCCAGGTTTAGAATTAGGTGGGTTGTTTTGTGTCTAATTTAGAAAAACCACTTGAAGTTCTCACAAAATCCTTATTTTTTAAAAGATCAGTTCCAACGCAGGGCCAATTTAGACTCCCTGTGCCTTTCCTTCCTCAGCATATTGGATAGGTAATTGCAGCTACATCAGGCAGAGCTGTTCAGCTGGGGAGATTAAGAGATGGTCCCTGTGCTCAAGGGACTGTCAGGGCCCAGGGAGCCAGGGATTCCCAGAGCACAGCACTGCCCATAAACGCCACAGCGCAGCACAAGTCAGGTGGCAGAAATTGAAAGCAGGAGTACTAGGGCCCTAGAGGGTCGCCAGGGGTCCTGGAAGGATCATGGCACCAGGCATGTTGACACACCATCGTGGGGACCAGGATGGAGATGGTGAGCGGTGACCGCCTGACCTATGGGCAGTGGGTGGTGGATTCTCAGGGTAGAAAGGAAGGTCAGGCCAGTCCTCTCCCCAGAGTCATTGTTTTCAGCTGTTATTAGCTGGGCACTGGGGAGCCATGAACTTCTGGTGTGGCTGTGATGGGAAGTGAAGCAGGAAACTGCTGGAGATAAATCCAGGCCCTTGGGAGAAACCAGGCTCCTGAGCAGGGACCAGCGCTGGGAATCTAGTGTCCCCTGTTGGGCTCCCTTGGAGAGTAAACATGCACAACCATGCCCCTTCCTGAAGTGTTCCCATTTTCAGTGGAGGTCCACACTTGCCATTGCATTTAGCTGAGATCTTACACACGAATGAACAGTATTATGAAATGCACAGATTCTCACTCTGTGTTGAAATCTGCTTGTGGTCAGAATTTTTCTGCCCTTGATTGGTTGACCTTCCGTCGTGGACACTGAGCGGGTGAGAGCAACAGCACAGCAGACAGACGCCCAGGTGTGGCTCCTGTGCCCTTTCCAGCCATGTGGCCCCCTCATGTTCCTGGCTTCTCTGGGCCTTGCAGTTCTCATCTGCCAAACAGAACTCATCCTCCCCGCCACCTGGGGACGCGTGAGGATGGCCCAGGTGACATGGGGGGAAATGCCAGCCCTCTCCTCATTTAGTCCTGCCACAAAACGGGATCTAAACGCCCAGCAGTGTGGTTCTTGGTGGTTAGGCAGAGAGGCCAAGGGCCCATCTCCTTAATATCCCATGTGGCCTGAAGAAGAGGAACACTTGGAGATCAAGTGCAGAGTCCCATTGGTGCCTGATCAAGGCCTCAGGGATGAGTGACTGCTAAGTGAGGCTTTTTGAACTAAGTTGCCTTTTATTTTCATGTGGCAAAATCGATTTGTTAAGAAGTGGAGAGATATAAGAGCAAGGACGAATCCCATACAATTAGGAGCTGTAGACAAGTCCAATTCTCAGTGCAAAATTCCCACTCCCTCCCCTCACTCAGGGGACCCCTCAAGCCACTCCCCAACTTACCTTTTCCGATCAGCACCCCTACACCTTCCTTGCCCTGCCTGTGACCTTGTTGTTGGGTCTCTCTTAGCTCACTAAAGCAATGCACAGCAAGTTTGCAAATTGTAACACTTGTTACTGTGATTTTTATTCCATTAGACAAACTACTTCAAAAAATCGTTTATGCTGTATCTACATTTCAGACATCAAATCAAATTTGTATTGACTTAGGATTTGTTCCCCAATTTTTTTCTTGTGCTAAAATACACATAAAATTTACCATCATAACCATTTTTAAGCATGCAGTTCGGTGGTATTAAATGTGTTCATAATATTGTATGGCCATCCCCACTGTACCTCTCTGTTCATCTTGTAAAACTGAAACTGTTTTTCGGTTTTCATTTTGTTTTGTTTTGTTTTGGCAGTTCTGAGGCGTGAACCCAGGCTCTTTGAACTGAGCTACATGCCCAGTCTCTTTTAGATTTCATTTTGAGACAGGGTCTTGCAAAATTGCTAAGTTGCCTGGGCTGGGCTCAAACTTGTGATCCTCCAGCCTCCCAGATTAAGGAGACTTTTTTTTTTTTGGTTCCAGGGATCGAACTCAGGACCTTGCATTTGCAAGGCAGGCGGTAGAACCACTGAGCTAAATCCCTGGCCCCCTAAGGGGAGTTTTAAACTGAGTAATTGGAGCTGTGCAGTAGCCAGAGCAGCTGGCCAGGGGACTCCCCCTGAGATTACCTTGAGGCCTCATGTGGGGGAGGGTAGTAGTGCCTTACCCACAGCATGGTTCAGGAGCAGCCATCCCATCATCTTTTGAGTCTCCACAGAGAAGAGGAGAGGGCACAGAGGACCACGTGGCCAATTTGAAGGGAGCCGGGCCTGGAAACATGGCCATTGCACTGTCCCCATTCTGTTGGCCTTGGCCACCTTCAGGGACGGTTGGGAGAAGCAGTCTGCATGTGTGTCCAGGAGGAAAAAGGGACAGAGATGGGGACACGCTGTGGTCTCTGCCTCGCGTGAATTACCCCCAAGGAGGAGGAAGGATGGGTCTTCGAGGCCAAGGGAAGCCCAGGGACATAGTTCTCTGTGTCCAGCAGAGAACAAGAAGCAGATGTCACCCAGGAAATGAGGACCCGGGGCTGGAAATCAGGGACCAGGAGGCTGCAGCTTGTGGCCACAGACCAGCAGATGGGGAGGTGCTGCCCAGAGGTCCTAGAACTGCTCCCCTCCTGGTGCCAGGGCTCCCAGGGCAGCAGGTTATCTCTGAGAGATTAGAAAGCGGCCTCCCTGCCCAGGCCTGGAGCCCACATTCAGGCCCAGACAGGAGCCTCTGATGCAGTTGGAATTCAGCTCTGTGCTGGAGGTGTCCCTGGAAATGACATGGCTCGATCTTCTTCCCACCAAGCAGTCCTCCCTGGAGCCGGCAACTGGTGGCACAGAGGACCTGCAGAACAACAAGCACAGGGTGAGAGCCACCAGGAAAGGAGAGTTTCACATTCCAGAATAGCTGCTACCTGGAGACCTGAGTGGGCAGAAGTGGACAGCAGGGAACTGGCAGGCAAGAGGGGGCATGGCCCAGCACAGCTGCCGAGCCCTAGCATGAAGGCCAGGATGCCCTGGGGACGCTGTCCTGAGGCCAGGGATGTAGCAGGAAAGCAACCTAGGCAGGTGCAGTCCAGAAAGATCCCCTGGGGACAGTGAGGGCTGGCGAGGAAGAGCCAGCGCAAGGAGGAGGAAGGTACTCCTAGGGTATCCTGGAGTGCATGTGGGGAACAGGAAAGCCCTAGGCAGCTCAGGGGAGTGGGCTCTGCACCCCACCCCAGAGCACTGCCCTTCATGGGGCATGGGGCCTAGCCATGCATCCAATGGGACAGTCCTGCACACCAGCACCCCCAGGTCTGCAGAGTGCCTGGTCTCTAAGCATAAAAGTCAGGAGCAAAACAAAAATACAGATTTGGAAAAGTGTGCCGACTGCAATGTGAATGCACACTCCTACTAGATGGCACAGAAAATCCAGAACAACATGAAGGAAGGGTCAACAACACACCTCCCAGATCCACTCGGCAGAGAGGACCAATGGCGAGATCTTGATAGCGTATTTATCTTCCTTTTTCTCCAGGTCAAGGTGACATCCATCTCAGTCCTCACCTACCCCTCCTTCCTGGTTTGTTGCCCTCATGGCTGAGTGCGTGCAGTTAGTGCTGCCGAGGGGAGCTGCGTGTCCAGGACAGGTTGTCAAGGCACCGGAAGCTCCTCCAGTTGCCCTAACAACAGGAAGGAGCCGACATCCTCCCCAGGGCAGTGTGTGGGGATCCCCACACCCCAATCTTTCTGAGTAGCAGAGCCCAGGGGAGTTGGGAGCACCCAGGGCCAACGATGCCCTCTGTCCATCCAAGGGGTCAGAAGAGGAAGACCACAGTGCTGGGCAGCAGGGGCAGGGAAGATGATGTTCCGTTCCTGTGAAAAGATGCACGTTAAAAAAAATGGCAAAAATACAGACAAGGAAATAATGGCACCATCCATTATTCACTCCACATTTATTAAGCACCTGTGAAGTGCACCATTTCAGAGGTTTGGATTAGTCTAGAGGGTCTAGTTTATGCTGTAGAAGTCAATTAATAAATTAACCCCCAAATCTCAGTGGTTCAGCACATCAGTATTTTATGTCTTATTCTGGTGCAGATCTAGTGGCTTTTGTGAACAGTTCCTTTCCAAGCAGTGATTTGGGGACCTGGCCAGCTGCCAGAGGGTGGCCTTATCATCCCAGTGGGGTACATCACCCAGCAGGTGGGGACTGCAGAGCTGGAGGGATACACCAGCTTACGAGGGTGTGCCCGCTTCTGCCCACAGCTCATTGGTAGGTCTGGCCAAGGCCCCACCAGCAACACAGGGGCTAAAAATGGGAACCAGGTGGAGGTCAGGTGAGCGCAGCTCACAGCAGGTTAAAGGGACAAAGGTGACCAAGGACTGTGAGCCTGAGCTGTCAGGAGCAGCCCTCTGCTTGGCTTTGAAGAGATCGCTGCAGGAAAATTGCCACGTGAAGGTGTTCTCTGTCATTCCTTCAGCCATGAAGCAATGATTTTTTTAAACTAAGTGCTGGCCCTGTGCTGAATTCTAGGGTCCCAGGGATGAAAGGTGGCACCACGCTCACTATGATCTAAAAGAAGCTTCGGAGGAGAGTGATGCAGAAAGTGTGTTCTAGAAGCGCACCAAGGAGAAGCCCCCAGCAGATAGCAACAAGGTGGGCAAGGTTGGCATAGGGAGGGGTGTGACCAGCCACCCAGGCAGCCCCGACCGGAAGTGAACAGGTACACAATGCCCGGTGTACACACCTGTCTTGATAGAGTAGTTGTGTTATATCCACATTCATATAAAAATATCAGGGTCTCACGGTGTAAATATGGAAATATGAGGAGAGCCCATGAAAGTTCCCATTGCTGGGCAACAGCTGGAGTGAGGAAAGGATGCAGGAAGCAAGGTTACCCCTCGGGCTCAGCCAAGCCCAGCCTGAAGAGAAACTCTCTGGTATCCAGCTGCTCAACATCTGGACAGGGCGGGCCTCAGGGCAAGAAAGTTGGCTCTTTAGCTTCGAAAAGAAAATCAGATGCGATACGAGCACAGGGGTTGAGCCTTAGCACACTGCGTCTGCAGGATGTTCCCGTTGGAGACATTGGCCCTGGGGACAACATGTCGGCCAGGTGAGCTTAGGCTGAGCTGGAAGAACTCTTCAGAGGGCCAAAGCTTCTATAGCTCTAGCCGGCAGCCTCAGAAGAAGCAGGATCCCTATCTCCAGCGTGGCTCTCTGCAAGGCTGGACTTCCACATGCGGGGGGAACAGAGGAAGGATCTGGGCTGTGGATGGGGACTGGAGCAGACAGTGTCTAACCTTCAGTGACTCCTTCAGAATTCAATGGCTGTGCCCACTGGGCCTGGCCAGCTCAGGGCGCTGGCCACTGTCCATTCTGAACAGCACCTGTTAGAGCCACCAGACCAACCTCCAAAATGATCACTGGGCACATAAGGTACCACATCCTCCTCCTCCCCGACGTGGCTTGGGTCATGGGGCGTTCATCCCAAAACCCACTTGAGCCCTAATCTCTGGCACCATTGGCATTCAAAAGCACTTCTGAAATTTATGTAAGAAGCAAGTGCCTGAACTGAGCATAAAGAATCCAGACTTTCTGAGCGAAACAAAACCATATGAACATATCCAGATTATGTGTACCACCAACTTGCTGTGTGTACAATAAATGGGCAGAGTAATCTGATTATGTCATAAATTAATGGGCACTGCTGCGTGCAAATGCAAGTTTTTATGGGGCCTCTGTTTATGTGCACATTTTCCCTGGCACATCTGTTGCTGAGCTGTTTTAAAATTCAACCTTTATAGGCAAGTTGATTCTTTTTTAATGTTACACAAAGGATTATGTAATGAAGGGTGAGGTTATGTAAGCTGAATTAACTCTCTTATTATTCACATTCATAACAATATTTTAGTTGCTGTTGTGCAATCTGGTCGTCTGTTCCTGTGCGATGAGAAGAGAATGTTTATGATCTTTATTAATGAAGTAATTAAGAAGTGCCTTTTCATTCAGTCCAAGTGTTGCGATTTACAGCAGGTTGTTGGGACTCTCTTGAACGTCCCGTGGCGGGAGTCCTGTCCAGCCCAGAAGCTGTCACTCTGCCTCCCCTTGGAGGGTGGTGCTCTTGGTGCCTCGTACCTGGGTCTCCACCCCATCCACCCATTCCTCCACTGAAGGAATTGAGCAGGAGGACCAAGCGAGGCATCTTATACTTGGAAGGCGAGAGAGGTTTCTGATAAAGATACCAGGGATTGTCTGGGCTATCTGTCCAGTGCTGCAGGGATGGACACCCTGAGAGCTTGGTCAGCAGGTGTTCTGACTGTAGTTGCACTGCTACTTCATTGGGTGGCACAAGGTTAGTTCCGGTTCTGATGCAGTCACAGAGAGATGCACAGCCCTGGGGTCACCCCAAGGCTCAGGAGGTGGCAGCCCTGTCCCTCTCAGGCTCAGGGATGTGAAATGACACTGCTCTTTCTTCAGCTGTTTTCACAGCAGCAGTAGGGACAACCCTTGCCCTTAAAGGCACTGCTTGGGAATCTCTGCCCTTTGTGCCCAAGGAGAGGCTTGGGAACCAGATCCTGCAGGTCTCCTTCATGGGTGTGTTGATTTGCCTTGGTTTTTTGGTTGGTTGGATTTTGAGACAGGATCTGGCTATGGAGCTCCAGCTGCTGACCTGGAACTCACAATCTTCCACCTCCCCGTTGCTCATGAGCACAAGAGCATAGGTGGTTTTCTCCTCTTCCACCGGCCCCTCCATCCTGTGAGGACAGAAGGCAGGAAAACCATGTACTGTCTTCTTCTTGAGGCCTGGTGTGCCCAAGCGCCTGTGGGGTTCAGTAGCCGTCCCGGAGCAGCTGTCAGTGTCAGGACAGAGGAAAGCAGCACTGCCCTCCAGAACGGCACGCAAGCGAGACTCAGCCAGCCGGGTACCCAGACAGCATCCTCCTGCAAGCATTAGCCTGGAGAGATTGTTTCAGTGTTAATCTTGTCCCTTGCACCTCTGGGTTTATCTGGGGGTGGGGGATATCACATCTGTAAATGCCATTTTTATCGATTAGATGAGTACCAAGATCTTTCTATAAAAATAAATGCAAATTTTCCTTTAAAGAAAATTGGCAATTTGCCTAACCATTTTTATTGAAGTGATTCTATTCTATTTGAATAACATTGGGAGATAAAAACCCTCCATTATGTCTTTTTTAATGAATTATAATTCAAAAAACTCTCAATAATAGAAACTGACATAAAAGGCACAGAGCACACTTCTTATCTTGTTTTCCTTCTCGTCTCTCTTGTTGGGTGTGTGTAATTGCTGTCACTTCAGGGAGAAAATGGGGGCTTGTACCACCCTCGAATCAAGTGACATTCGTTTATTCGAGTCTTCAGATGGAATATACTTTTTGAAGGATTTTCTTCTAAATCTTAGCATAGCTCCTTTACACATCGGTGCTCAACACAAAATAAAAGCTGTTGAATGTGCAGAAAGATTCCTTTAATTTTCTGTGGTCACAACTGTGTTCCCACTGGTGGGACAGGTGGATGGCTCTGGTTGCATTCTCCCAGGGTGGGTCTTATATAAGGAGATGGTTCTGTTGATTCAGAGCAGTGACTTTCAAATGTGGTCCCTGTGGGTTGCCCGGGGGCCCTGGTAAATACGGATTCAGAGCAAGTCTGGGGCCATGCCTGGAACTCTGCATTTCTGACCATGCAGAACGAGAAAGCAGCACCTGCACTCCTCCCAGACTGTCAGATGTGGAGCAAGCCCTAAGCACCTACACACCTTCATGGCTACTGTGACAGCTTTGTTTCTTTCTCTTTTTTCCAGCTATGACACTGAAGGAAGAGGGTACATTACTTACCAAGAGTTTTTACAGAAACTCGGTATTAACTCCTCACCAGCAGTCCACCGGCCCTATGCAGAAGATTACTTCAACTTCCTGGGTCATTTCACGAAGCCCCAGCAAGTGCAAGAAGAAATCCACGAGCCGCAGCAGAGCACAGAGAGGGCTGTGCCAGCCAGGTGGGTTTGGGAGTCCAGATGCTCTGCCCTCTGTTTAACCTGGTGGCAGGACTGCTGTCCAATGGCCCCATCCAATGTGTGCCAGCAAAGTGACAGTGGAATATTCTACTCTCTCACTGCGATGGCCTCTCGAAATCTATAAGCCAACATGAAAGGAGTTAAAAAGCGTTAAGCCTGGCCCAGTCCCAATCTTGCACTGTGTCATATTTTAAGTCACCCTTGAACACTACCCCTTGGATCCTACACCATGCCTGCTCCTTTGCTTGTCCCAGCTAGAGTGTAAGCTCCATAGGATGTCACTTTTCCAAGTGCCAGACACCTAATAGGCCCCCTGTGAACACTACTGGATGGATGGATGGATGGATGGATGAACAGACATCCTTTAACTAACCACATCTACTTGGAAGGCTCCATCCCAGTGAATTAATTCAGAAGAGCTTGGTAGATGCAAGGTGGGAATTACAGTGTGTCCTTTACAATAACAACAAAAAACACCTTTCAATCCCAATATAGTGGCCTAGGGACACGTGGCCCTAGTGCACGCCTATTTAAATGAATATGAGAAAGCTCGGAGTGTTCGTGATAACCAGCTGGCCAGCCATGCCGTGTGTAGCCGTGACTGGTACAGTGTCAGGTGTGTGCGCATCCGCAAGGACCAGGAGTTGCTTCCCAAGGCCGTACATGGTATTTGGGTGGTGGGATTGTACTTGGCTATCTACAAAACTTAAAACTGGCTACTCACATCATGTTTTTACATTGATATTGTAGGAAAAAATTGTGCTGGGTATGGTATGGCCATAAAGCAAGATTTATTGAATGATTTTCTTGTCCAAAAACCATCGTCAGTCCCAACCCCCAAGGCCACCTCTCTCTCTCTCTCTCTCTCTCTCTCTCTCTCTCCCCCCCTCTCAATAGGCGTGGTTCTGCCATAAGTGCGCCTTGCTCTTACCTGCTTCTGCCCCTGTCTGTCACCTCAAATGGTAGGACTCAGTTCTTTGTCCTTACTGGAATGAGTGAATGAATGAATGAGTCACTGCTGAAGAATCCCCAAAGATGCCCGAGGACCGTAACATCATAACCAAGTCAGGTATAAGGAAAGAGCAGTTGGAACACACCCTAGATTATGTCTAAATTACTGAGCCACAGAGCCTGAAGGCAGAGAACTGAATTTGTGAAATTTAACATAAAATATGCACAGGATTGGTATAAATCAAATATCCCATGAAGCCATCGGGAAGGTGGAACTTATCTTCACCAGCAGCAGGGTGGCCTCATTGCCCACTCGTGTCCTTGCTCCTGGTGAGCAACGAGGCTCTGATAAGACGCTGCTTCCACTCGGCTGTCTCACTTCGCCTTCCCCTCCTGTCCTGCTGACCTGCACAAGGGTCTTAGCTGAGACCACGAAACACGTGACGACCTGTTTTGCGATCAGGGGCCCAGTTCACACTGGCCTGGTCCTCCTGCCACTGCCACGCTGTCTTGAGGACCATGTCAGACGCGTGGCCAACTGGTGGAGTCTCAGAAACATCGAACTCTAAAATTGATTAAGTAACTTTGCCCCCCAGGACGGCCTGTTTGCCAGTGTAGGGTCAGGAAACTTTCAGATTCACCTAAGAGTCTGTGGCCATGGTCTCTTCCATCTCCTCCTTTTTACTGAAACTCAGATGAGACTGACAACCCCATGGAGTTAAAGGGACCCAAGTTTTATACCTGTCTCATGAATCTAAGGGAGTTGACTCTATTTGCAGTGGCCCCCCAGATACATTTTCAAGATGAAAACAAATCTTTTTTCAGATTTATGTTTACTTTCTAAGCCTTGCTCTTTTGTTGCCTGAGTCTGAGCTGAAGATGGAAATTAGAACAATGGAGGAGCCATGAGACGCAAGCCTGTGTTAGAACACACAGAGGGGTCCGTGAGGGTCCAGCTGGGGTGGGGTGGGAGGCAGCCAGAGGGGCTCGGTGGCTGTGCCTTCCGCAGGTTCTCTGTACAGACCAGCACCGGGACAGGGATCCAGCACAGCTCCATTCCTCCGTGTGGACCAAGAGTGGCTCTGTTTGGCAGCCTGCTGCAATCTGTGCTCCCAGGCCTCATTTACTCTGTGCGCGTATTTATTCTGAAGGAGGGAATCATTCATTACTGCCTTCAAGCTGGTCCAAGAAACGCTGAATGCCTCACTTTTCTAAAAATATGTATCTCCAAAAATGTTTTGACTTTTCTTCTACCTTCATTTGCTTTCATTTTGAGGGATTAAGTGGAATAGAATGGTTGTGATAAGGAGCAGTGCTTTTGTAACCTGGGACTGAGTCCAGCATACACCTGAATGGGGCCTGGATCACTGGAGCTGTTGGTTCACGCTCACATTCGCGTACCTGACATGGCTCAGTTGTGCTAAGTGCTCCCATGTTGCAGAAGCTGGTTCCAGATCAGAGGCCAGCAGCAGAAGGTTGGAGATCATCAGGGACTTTCAGTGTAAATGCCACCATGTCCACCCATGCTGAGTATTCCCACTCTACTTCACCTCTCCTGGGCTTCTGACTCTTGTGCTTCTGCAGATTATTTTTCCCAGGTGTGGTCAAGGGACTGTCGTCTCCCACAAATGCCTACCTGAAGTGACAATTACCTCCAAGGACCTAGTGTTCAGAATTGACAGCAAGTTCTTGTCCTTGAGGAGTGGACAGAGCCTCCATGCCATCTGATCCCATCAGGGCAACACTGTCCTGAGTCAGTGAGAAGGCGCTTTTTGGGAGACCTGAGAGCAGAATTGAGAACCATTCCCCACCATGGTCAAGTGCAAAGTTGCTCATGCCTAAAGACGTCCACAGACAATAACGTTGGTGAAGTCAGGGAAGAAGTTTCCTGTGCAGAAGAACTGAATCAGAGAGACCGGGGAAATGGACCCTGCACAGAATGGGCCTGGAGCTGGGCGCTGAGCAGGGTGCCATCTCTCTCACCACTATGGAAGGCCTAGTCTTGTCCTCAGCTCCCCTGGGTCCAGCACCATCTTTCCTGGGTCATTCATGGGCTTGATGAGGCCCTGCAGGGTTGCTGAGAAGATCAACATGAGAACATACTTGTGGGGTCAGCTAGGCTCCCATTTTCCCAGCTGATGCTCACAGATGGTGGCTGTGTTTAGCAACAAGATCTTGACCAAAATGTGATGCATCCCTGGACACTCCTGTCCCCAGTGCTGATGGGACCCCATGCCTGTCCACGTTCCTCCAGTCCTGCCAGGGGGCCTAGCACCAGCTGCTCCCTGGGCCCCAGGAAAGCCCTTCCCAGAGGAGACTTTGCCTCCCAGGCTGGGCTCTGGGGTCACACCACTAGTAGGGCCTATGTGACCTCTTGCTGAGAACTGCAGTCCCCTGCCACTTTGGGTGCCCACTGTCCCCTAACTGACTGTTCTTCTCATCCACTAACACAGCATGCATGCACCTGGCTCTTCTCAACTGGGCCAGAATGGAAGGTGATTCTCCTGAGGACACCTGCATGTGTCCTGCATGTCCCAAGAGCACCAGGTGGCACATAGTAGGCACTCGGCAAACATTTACGGAGAGTGAAGGTGTATTTCACATGTCTGTAACATCCTTGTATTTTGAAGTTTCTGATCCCATTTTTGAAAATACCAATTCTAGTAAAAAGGCAAGTTTGCAATTTCTCTAATATGGTTTTGCTAATGATAATAACAATAAAATGATAGCGGTACAGACTTGGCATTTTTTTCCAGGACACTTTTTAAAGTAACTGTCACATGGGGCCTGCAATGCATCTTCCAAACTCACTCTTAGAGTAGTGATCAAGTCATCACATTAGTTTGAGGTGTGTCTGAAATGTGCTCTTTTTCAGGGTTCAGCTTATGGACCACTATCAGGACATCAACAAAGCACTCAGTGCACTGGATAAGTCCCAGTCCAGCTCATGTCCCTCTGCAAGATGCAAAGGTCATTGCAGGAGTGTGGCTGTCCCCTGAAGGAGGAGAAGCTGACCAGTCTTCTGCACAGGTCTCTGGGGTTTGGTTTTTGTTCTTATTTCTGACTAGGTGAGGTGCGTTTTTCTTGAACCTCCTTTGACCTCGAGATGACCTCCCTGTGTTCTTTTGGGCCAGGCTGCATTACAGTGGGCTCGAGTCAGCCATAAGCAATGAAGAAAGCAATTTGACAAATGCACAATTTTTCCTGATGGGTCTTAGCATAATCATCGTCTTTCACTGTTCGTTTTTATTTTCTCCATGTTTTTCATCCACATTGGAAGTCATATCACCTTATCAGTTTATTGTTAAAAACAGCAGCCCCTCTGCCCTACTACTGCTCTTGTTTCCCAGCCCAAGGTCAACCACTTCCAGCACATTCAGCTGGTGGCTTTTGGTACTGAATGTCCCCATTTCTAAGTGACAAACTTCTAGTGCTACTCCCTGACTTGTTACTTGCAGGCAGTGTCTGTTGAATTCCTGCCAGGAAGACATGGAAACCCACGGACACCTATCCACACAGCTCATCAGGCTGCAGCCCAAGTTTTGGGGATTTGTGTTCAGGACCCACATGACCATGGCTAAGAAGATCACTTCTTTCTTCATAGCACGGCTTCCAGGATAAGCTTGTTTTTTCTGTTCATTTAGTTTCCCATGTACTTATCACCCCTCATTCAATCCCTGGCACACCCTTAGGGGTGACATCTCCCTCCTGTGTGTTCAGACACTTCCATTAAACTTCCCACTGCATCTTGTCAAAGAAGCCCTTTGCATATTCTTCAGTTCCCAGAAATTGTCTTGACTTATTTCATGAATGATTTCCTCTCCTTTGTTCTCTCTGAAACTCCTGCTATTGTTGGACATTGAACCACCTAGACTGTAGCCTTATTTGTTTTGAAATCTTTCTCATTTCCATCTCTTTTACTTTTTATTCCACTTCCTGAGCCATTCCTTTCATTTCAGCTCCCAGTCCTTTTTTGAGTTTTGTTTGTGCTATACTACTTCTGCCTCCAAATTGCCAATGCTTGTTCTCATTCTCCAAATGTTTCTTGTTTCACAGCATCCTATTCTTATTTCATGAATATACTATCTCATTTCTCTGAAATTAAGAATAGACTTCAAAAATTTTTTTTGTATGAGAAATCCCTCCTCACTGTCGCTTTTTTTTTTTTTTTTTTTTTTGGTACTGAGTATTGAACTCAGGACCTTGCACTTGCAAGGCAAGTGCCAGAACCACTGAGCTAAATCCCCAGCCATCTCACCCTTTGCTTTTAAAACAGTCTTTCACACTGGACACTTTCCTCAAAAATACAGTGGACCCAGGCAGAAAAGTCTGATGATCAACCACCTGGACACTCTGAACTGATAGCGCAGGAAATAACAAAGCAGATGAATGAGGCGCTAGAAAAATTCAAAACAGAAATAATTTCCCATATAACTACAGAAATGGTAAGCAGAATGAAAGACATGATTAGAGACTCTAGAACAGAAACAGATTTAAAAAAAAAAAAAAAAAGACGGGCTCAGAACTATGATGGAAACCATGAATGCCCAGCATAGGAAAGAAATGGAAACCATGAATGCCCAAAATAGGAAAGAAATGGAAACCATGAATGCCCAAAATAGGAAAGAAATGGAATCCATGAAACAGATTCAAACAGATATCCAGGAGATTAAAAACTCTATTGAGGGCCAGGGATTTAGTTCAGTGGTTTCACCGCCTGCTGCACAAGTGCAAAAACCGGAGTTCGATCCCTGGTACCAAAAAAAAAAAACCTCTATTGAAAGCATACACAGCAGACTGAGCCAATCAGAAGACAGAAAATCAGATATAGAAGACAGGATGGTGGTCAGTGACCAAGAAAAGAGAGATCTCTTAAAATAAAAGAGAAATCAATCCAACAGCTCCTAGATGATGCAAAGAAGAATAATACAAGACTGATAGGAATCCATGAAAAAGCAGGAGAAAGTACAAATGACATAAAAAAAAACTGTTCATAGAATTAATGACAGAAAATTTCCCAAACAGCACAAGAGTTTGACATACACATTAGTGAGGCATATAGGACTCCAACTAGCCATGATAAAAAAAAATCTACACCTAGAAACATAATAATCAAGATCCCAGAAACCCAACAGAAGAACAAAATACTACAAGCAGTTAGACAAAAGAAATAAATCACATGCAAAGGAAAGCCCATCAGAATCACAGCAGACTTTTCAACACAAACCCTCAAGTCAAGGAGAGCCTGGAGTGAGGTATTTCAAGCACGAAAAGAAAACAACCTCCAACCCAGACTGATGTATCCTGCAAAACTACCTTTCAAATTTGATGGAGAAATAAGATACTTCCATGACAAAGAACACCTGAGAAACTTCATGAATACCAAACCAGCACTCCAAACAATTCTAAACAATATCCTAGAAAAAAGATAACAAAGGTCACAATTCCATGAGGCCCAACCGCAGATTCATCAGGCAAGGCAAGAAATTAAAAGGAGAGGAAAAAAAAAAAGAACCAACAACAGGAAAATAACATGACAATGATAAGTCAATACATATCAGTTATAACCATCAATGTTAATGGCCTCAATTCACCAATCTGGCAGAATTAAGAAGGAAAACTCAACAAATGCTATATACAAGAAACACACCTAATTCAAAAAGAAACTTATAGACTGAAAATAAAAGGATGGAAAACAGTTCTCCATGTGACAGGAACTTGGAAAAAATCAGGGGTAGCTATCTTATTTTCAGAAAAAGTACATTTCAAACCAAAACTAATTAAGAGAGACAAAGGACACTAAATATTTGTAAAGGGAACAATCCAAGAGGAAGAAATGACATCATAAATATATATGCACCAAATACTAATGCCCCCAACTATACAAAACAAATATTAGAGGACATGAAAAACCAAAAAAGCACTAATACAATTGTAGTGGGGGACCTCCATATCCCACTGTCACAAATAGACAGATCATCTAGACAAAAAATCAGCAATGAGTTACTAGAACTGAATGAAGCTTTTGAACAAATGGACTTAATAGACATCTACAGAGTGTTCCACCCCACAAAATCAGAATATATTTCAGCTGCACACAGGCCATTCTACAAAATGGACTACATACTAGCTCATAGAACATGTTTAAGTAAATGCAAAGGAATTGAAGTTATCCCATTTATATTATCAGACCATAGATCAATAAAACTGGAGATCAATAGCATAAGAAACCTCAAGAACTTCACAAACACATGAAAATTGAATAACACTCTCTTGAACAACCAATGGGTCTCAGGGGAAATTAAAGAAGAAATTAGACAGTTTCTACAAATAAATGATAATGCCAATACAACATACAGGAATCTATGGAACACAATGAAAGCAGTTCTACGAAGGAAATTCATAGCAGTGTAAGCCCACACTAGGAAAACAGAATGAGCTCAAATAAACAACCTAATGCCAAATCTTAAGCTCCTAGAAAAAGAAGAGCAAGACAAACCCAAAGCTCCTATGAGGGAGGAAATTATAAAGATCAGAGCAGAAATCAATGCAATGGAGACTAAGAGAATGATACCAAAAAAAAAAAAATCAAAGAATCAAAGAGTTGGTTCTTTGAAAGAATAAATAAAATCAATAAACCCTTCGCCAACCTTATCAAAAAAAGGAAAGAAAAGGCTCAAATCCATGCAATTAGGAATGAAAAAGGTGAAGTCACAACAGATCCAGCAGAAATCCAGGGGATCACCAATACCTACTTCGAGAAACTGTACTCTAATAAAATGGAAAATACAGAAGAAACAGACAGATTTCTAGATACATATGAATTGCTAAAGTTGAAGACAATATAAAAATTCTTAACACCCCAGTTACAATCAGTGAAATTGAAAATGTAATTAAAAATTTACCAACAAAGAAAAGCCCAGGGCCTGATGGCTTCACTGCTGAATTCTACAAGACATTTAGAGAAGAACTACTGCCACTACTGT